TCAGCATCATATGGTAACAGCCTGATATTGGATGGCGCGGGCTAACCGTTCTGAGCAGCAGTCACTGGGCGCTTAGCTCCGAGCCGTGCCGGAAAGCCCGGGGCCCGCGCGTGCGGCACTCGGGCGAGGCGACCCCCCGGTGCGCCGGGACAGCCGCGAGGGCTGCTGCCGCGCCAGGTGGGCGATCTGGACCCGTGTCCGTAACGCTGAGGCTCAGTCGTGGTGGACGCCGGGACTGTGGGCTGGGGTCGAGGACCGACCACTCGGCGTGTCGGGACAGCCGCGAGAGCTGCTGCCGCGCCAGGTGGGCGATCTGGACCCGTGTCTGTAACGCTGGGGCTCAGTCGTGACTGGGCTGGGGTCGAGGACCGACCACTCGGCGTGTCGGGACAGCCGCGAGAGCTGCTGCCGCGCCAGGTGGGCGATCTGGACCCGTGTCCTGTAACGCTGAGGCTCAGTTGTGGTGGACGCCGGGACTGTGGGCTGGGGTCAAGGACCGGCCTCTGGCTCTCTTCGCCGGGGAGCGTAACCGAGCGTACGGCTGACGGGTGTCCTACCCCCCAGCCGGCGGCAGTCTGACGCGAGAGGACCGCGGACCGCGTGGTACCGCCCCGGCAGCCGCCCAGCGCCACGCAGACCTCAACGGACGAGCCGCCGCTGCCCACCGGCCACTACCAACTCAAGCCGGAGACCAAGCAGAAGAGGCCGACGGAGAGCAAGCCTGCCAGACCAGAGACGCAACCAGGCAAGTCCGCGGTGGATGGTCGTACGTTCCATTTTGCTGGTATGTGTCAGCCAGCGCAGACGCGCCAGGGAGAACTGTTTTGAAAACGCAGAGCTGTCGTTTATGGGAGGCCGACATTCCATTACGACCGACGGAGTGAGGCGGCATGTGAAGGGTCCCAGTCATTGTTTTCCTTACCACAGGAAATGTGCTGGAATATGCAGGGTAGATCACATTCACAGTGGTTGTTGGCTCCCAGACGTCAGATTTGTTAAATTTAACCTTTGTACTACATGCTGAACTAAGAGCACGCACGTGGCACAGCCAGACCTACGCCCTGCGCGGAGTGCGACATTTAGAAGCGCATCCTGGCCTTAGCCGCGACCGGTCAACGGTGGTGTATTCACAGCGGCGAGACGCGACACGGCTGGGCCGGCGTCGAGCGGGGCCAGACGGACCGTGCCGGCGCCGGGCGCCACCAGACGGACCGAGCCGGCGCCGGGCGCCGCCAGACGGACCGAGCCGGGCCGGCGCCGCCAGACGGGCCGAGCCGGGCCGGGCGCCGCCAGACGGACCGAGCCGGCGCCGAGCCGCGCCCCCCCGGCTCAGCAGGCGCCGGCGGCACGGCCGTCAGCAACGGCGACACCAGCGGCGCCCGGCCGCCCGCCCTGCCACCTACCGGCCGCTCGACAAACTGCTGTCGGGTGTCGTGTTCGCCATGAGCGGCTACAAGAACCCGGAGCGGGCCACGCTGCGCGAGCAGGGCATCCGACTGGGAGCCAAGTACCGGCCTGACTGGACCCCCGACTGCACCCATCTCATGTGAGCAGGGAGGCTGGGGCGCCACGCGCTGACGCCACGTGGCAGCTGTCCCACGCAGGTGCATTGGGATGCTTTTACACCAGCGGAGCTGTAATGTCGCCCACCTGATGGAATTTGAGGGGAAGATCGAGTGGCCAGGGTCGCTGGTCGCGCCTATCGCAGTGTTAACTGTAGGTCATAGTATTAGTTCCAGTAACCAAGAGTGATAACGAAATACACACATAAAACACCAATATGCCAGTCATTAACTTACTCATACGTCAATAATAGGGGGGGGGGGGGGTAGGTTGTAGCAATCTCTGGTACATTAAGACCAAACTGATGTTTTCACATGCCACCTGAAGATAAAGTAAACGCACTCATGACACCAACAAACAGGCATACTACCATGAACGGCAACCAGTACTTAGCCTGTTCCATTCGGGTACGGCCCGTTACCAAGCTAAATTCAGCTTTTCACCGCAGTTGCCTGTTCCATTCGGGTACTGGCCCGTTACCAAGCTAAATTCAGCTTTTCACCGCAGTTGCCTGTTCCATTCGTGGTACGGCCCGTTACCACGCTAAATTCAGCTTTTCACCGCAGTTGCCTGTTCCATTCGGGTATGGGGCCCGTTGCTAAGCTAAATTCAGCTTTCCACCGCAGTTTTTACCCCATATGTTCCATCCCATCTGTAAGCCTTCTCTACCTTCCTCGTATTTATTTTTCCTCCCTCTTGCCCGACCTCCCCGCGTCCGCTGCCGTCCTCGATCGTTCCCCTGCCGGTCTTCGCTCCCGCCGATTTTCGCACGTGCTTTGCCGTGCTCCCTTCCGCCGATCTCCCCGTGTCCTCCCTCTGCCGAGCCTCCCTCTGCCGGCCTCCCCATGTTCTCTGCCGGCCTCCCCGTGTCTTCTGACGGCCCTCCCCATGTCCTCTGCCGTCCTTCCTCTGCCGGCCTCCCCGCGCTCGCGAGTGCCTCTGACATCACGTGACGCCGCCGCCAGCTGCGCGTTCCGGAACACGCCCAAGCACGTGCAGGTGCGCGGCCCGCGGCAAGATCGTGCTCGGCTCGTGGCTGATGGCAGTTGCGCCGCCCAGAAGCGGCGGCTCTCGTGGCGGCGGCACGCGCTGGAGCCAGCCGACGGCCGCCCGCGCCGGACAGCGAAGACGAGGTTGTGGGCTGAGGAGCTGCGTCCTCGGCCGGCCGGCCGGCCCAGGTGAGGCGAGGCGCCCCCTCACCGGGACCCGCACGCCGGCCGTCCTGCGGCCGAGAGCCGGCTGCCAGGCCGAGGTGAGGCGAGGCGCCCCTCCTTGGGACCCGCACGCCGGCCGTCCTGCGGCCGAGAGCCGGCTTGCCGGGCCAGGTGAGGCGGGGCGCCCCTTCACGGCACCAATCACCCGCCGGCCGTCCCGAGGACGAGAGGCAGGCTGCCGGCCGAGGGTGAGGCAAGGCGCCCCTCCTCGGGACCCGCACGCCGCCCGTTTTACTGCGGCCGAGAGCCGGGGCTGGCCGGCAGGTGAGGCGAAGGCGCCTCCTCTGGAACTGCACGCCTTGGCACTAGATGATCTGATTGGCGGTGGGGTGGCGTCTAGCGTCCGTGTGTCGGGATCGGGCCGGTGTGACGCGACCTCCTGCCCTGCAGCCACCGCGCCCAGCCCGCCGCCAGCGAACGGCGACGAGTACCGGCAGCAGCACCGACGATATGGACACGGACGACGAGATCAGGATGTAAGCGCGCCTTGTGCCGCCGGCCACCCAGCCGAGTCGGCTTGTGACATGGGGGACATGTGAAGCATGCCAGATAATCAGCTGTGAATTGTGGTCTGCGGCACTGATGTCGGGTAACGGGCTAGTCCTCGAGCCCAAGCCATTAGCCCTCAAGCCCAAATGACCAACCAAACGGGGGTCTGCTGACCAATGCTGCGGCCTGACGTCTGGTTACATGTATTATATGCTTTCCAACCGCTGGTGCGATACCTTCGCAGGGCTCAGACCTCCTGCAAGCCGGCGGCGGTCTCCGAGGCCAGGCGCCGGACGTCGGCGAGTCCGCCAGTGTCCGGCACCGAGAGAAGGCGCGTGCCCGACGCCACCGCTGGGAGCCCCTTGCCGTCCACGTCCGCCGGCGCCGTGCGGCGACAGCGACGCTCCCCGTCGCCGGCCACCGCCGCCGCCGTCCCAGCCAAGCGGCGCCGCTCGCCGACCAAGCCGGCGGCCGTCGCCGAGGACTCGGACGCCGCGTACGAGGCGGACACGGACGAGGACGAGCCGGCCGAGCGGCGGCCCGACACGACCGGGCTGCGCGTGCCCGAGCTGCCCGACTTCCTGCTCGGCAAGACGTTCCTGCTGTACGGGCAGACCATGTCGACGGAGACGCGGCGCCGGGCGGGCCGCTACATCACGGCATTTGGCGGGTGAGCAGTACGGGCCGCTGAGCTGGCGCACGGGCCCCGCCGCCCGCTCAGTCATGCAGCGTGAGAGCGAACCAATGCAGCGTCATGCCACGAAATCACTGTCGCTCGTCGAACTTGGGTTGTGGTAGAGCTAATTCTGGAAATAGGCCAGTCGGTGCGGTCATGAGACGCGACAAGGCACCTGCGAAAACGATGACATGCGAATTGCAAAAATAGCCTGTAGCCATTCATGCTGCTTATTTCGATGCTGACTTCTCATCGGTAGAGGCGACTCGAGCACGTCTGGCTCCCTTACTCGCTACCGGCCCGGCCTTGCCAAACTTTGGCCAGGCCAAATGGCTTGGGCGTGGCCAGACATTGGTACCACTCCTTCCCGTTGACATATGTTTGTCCTTCACTGCAGGAAGCTGGAGCAGTACTTCGGCGACGGCATCAACTATGTGATAACGTCGGACGTGTGGGACGGCAACTTCGACGAGGTGAGCCGGCGGACCTCTGACCAGCCGCCACGGCTCGCGTACGTCCGAGGCGGCGGGCGTCCGGACCTGGGGCGGGGGCGCCACGCCCCGACCGGACGCCTTGCGGGCGAGGTGTGACAGCTGCTGCCTTGCGCATTAACCGCGCACATTCCGACATGTACACTGGTTATTGGCGTCTCAAATTGCGTTCAATCGCACCACCACCGCCGTTACTGTGAGGGAGCACTTGGAGGACTGCGCAGGCTGATTCGTGCCGACGAGCCGGGTCGTTTTATGCCCGTGTGCTCGAGGCCACCTTTCCTCTAAACGCATTCCATGAACGGAGAAAGAGGATATACTCATGCCTCGTAGGACGAGATGAGAACATTTTCCCAACGGGTGACTGAAACACCTAGCGACAAAGGAGCGATGTTTGTAAGGAGCACGTGCGGAAAGGGTTATCTGTGACACAAAGAGACTTGCGCAACTACATGTCTTACAATCACACCCATGCTTGATTGATTTTTAGTATTTGTTAACTAGTTAATTAGTGACCACTTCAGGTGCTTTCAAACTGCATGAGTACCCTTCTTTTTTGTGCTTCACAAGTCTATATCAGTTTTCTTACATATCATAATCAATCAAGAACATTATACATTTGAAAAGTAACACATACAAGGGGAGTAAGACTCAGTATTTATTTGCAGTTACAATAGATTCAGATTAAGTTTAACAGATAAATGACACTTGGTTGCGTCCATGACATTCAGTGCAAGGAACTGGGAAGATCACCCAGGATGAATATGACGCCGGGCAAGTTCCCGTATTTTTTTAGTACTGTGAGATGCTCGCACCGGTAGCCAAATCCCTATCAAATACTGCGACTGGTTCGGCGCAGACAGTTGCATTTGTGACGTCTCAGTTATTATCATCGAGTCCCATTTGTGACGTCTCAGTCATTATCATCGAGTCCCATTTGTGACGTCTCAGTCATTATCATCGAGTCCCATTTGTGACGTCTCAGTCATTATCATCGAGTCCCACTTGTGACGTCTGTCATTATCATCGAGTCCACATTGTGACGTCTGTCGTTACCATCGAGTCCCACTTGTGACGTCTGTCATTATCATCGAGTCCCACTTGCGCTGGTAAATGACGAACCCCATGGGGCTAAAGCAAACACCACAGCGAGCAAATTGGCCGCTTAGTAGGCACACGGATAGAATACTCTCCATATACCACGTAACGCAGAACCTATATTATGGATATTTACGCAACCAACAAGTGCATATTGATGCACACCACGCATACACCTTATGGCAACAGTCTGCCGCCTGGGTGCCGTTTGGGCGTTCTAACACATATTTTTCAGCAGGATGCGCACGTAGGTTGCAGCCAGTTACTTTTATTTTATTGCTTCGCCCTTCAGCCTTGAGTACGTAGGTTTAGGAGATGTACATATTACTTGGTGTGTGTTGTTAGATACGCCTAGCGTGTTCAGCGACGCCGGCGTATTTCATCTGTAGTTGAGTGTATGAGCGTGCGCCTGCGTACGTGTGCTGCGGCAGCCGGGGAGGGCTAAGCTCGGCTGCGTCGCTTCCTCAGGCGCTGTCGGCCAACCCTGAGCTGATGTTCGCCCGGCCGACCTGGCTGGACGCCTGCGCGCGTCAGCAAAAGCTGGTGCCCGCCCCAGGCGTACCTGGTGACGCCGACCTCTGACGGGCGAGCGCGCGGCGGATGGTGGCCGGCCCTCACACAGCAGCCACGGCAGAGGAACTGGTGCCGGGGAGCCGCCAAACTGGAGGCCATAGGCCAAACTGGTGCCAGAGGACTGTGATGAGGGCGGCCCAGAGCCGTGGTCACGACTGGAGCCCGTGGGCCTGCGAGAGCAGGAGCCTGCGAACTCGGGAACCTGCGAGCTCGGAAGCCCACGAGCTCGGTGAGCCCGCGAGCTCGGGAGCCCGCGAGCTCGGGAGCCCGCGAGCTCGGGAGCCTGTGAGCTCGGGAGCCTGTGAGCTCGGGAGCCCGCGAGCTCGGGAGCCTACGAGCCTCGGAAGTCTGTGTGCCTGTGAGCCTGTGAGCCCGTGAGCGTGTGATCCGCCCAGGCTCGCGATCTCGGCTTCAGAGCGGTGTCCGCCTGCAGATGCGGCCGGGAGCGGACTCGACGGACCCCGACTGCTGTGCCGGTGGTCTGGGCAGGGTTGACACGTGGCGAGTACAAAATTGCCCAACTGCCGGGATTTGTGAGTGAGGCCCGATCACTGGGCCGCTTCATCGCCTTCGTTGACTAAGTTGCCGCGTTGTGTGCCTTTGCCTAGACTGCTCTGTTGTTACGTAGTGTGGTATTTTACACTGCTTTTTGACGAAAGCGTTTTGTTTCGACCTGCCGTGTGTATTAGGCATGGTTGTGTTGTCACGTTTGCTAACAGGCTTTCTCGACGGCCGTGACAGCTGCCAGGACGGTGTTTTGTTGTGTGATTACTGTTGAGCCCCTCCGCCAGGTGCCAGGCCGATAGCCGACGGCATGCTGCTGCGTAATGTCAATACACTGATTCGTTGACCCGCGCTCGCTTGGCAGGACGTCCGTCCCTTTAGCCAGTGAAGATCCACTCACCCGCGGCGAGGTGGGTTCAATCGCTTTAGGCGCGAGCTATTCGCCCCTGACTGAAGTGGCCTGCGGCCGCGGCCCGCTAAAGATCAGGAGACGGCAGAGGGCGGGGCGGACCGTGCCGAGCATCGCGGCAGGTTAAGTCTTCACTGCAGCGGTGTGCCGTTGATCCGGGGTTTTACGATCAGGTGGTGGGGTCAGGGATTACGCCGCAAACGCTGCTTAGCCTGGACGCTGACCCTTGACATCCATCCAGCGTGGTCGGAAGGGTCTTAAGCGTGGGTTCGCATCTTAGCAACGCCCTGCTGTACCCGTCTTCATCGGCCGGCCTCAGTTGGCAGCTGCCCAAGTATCAGCTCACTGAAACGACCGGCCGTATCACGGCGGTGTGCGGCGCGTCAAGCCGTTCCTGAGAATGTGGCCGATGGACTGGAGCGAGATGAACTCAACTGCACCAGTCGGGCTATGATTTTAACAACTTCTGGCTGCGAAGCGCTGTAACCCCGAGGCTATCCTTGCAAACGCTCTGTATTTCTATACGGGGTTGTGATGTATAGAGCAAGCCTGGCGGATGATATGTCGGGGCCGCGGGGAAGACCTTTGGGCCCATCCAAGGCCTCAGGTGGCCTGTCTGGGCCCCCGAATGCCTTTGATGGGTTCTATGGTGATATGGGTAGCCTTCACTTGAATTGATATCGCTGTCATTGGTTGTCTGTTCTCCAGCGTAATGACGATCGTTGATGGTCGTCCGTAGATAGCAAAGACAAATTAAGATTTTTCCATGGCCACGCCATCATACATGTCTAGCTATTTTTACTGTGAGCCAGGCCGTAAGCCAAGCAAGCCCTAACGCGAAATAACGGGAAGTTCCATAGAGCAGTGAGCCGGGCCGACCCGAATCGGCCAGTTCGCCTTTCGCGGGCCTATTCGCATAACCATGCAGTTTTCAGCAGCAAGCAGCACGATTGTTTAGATGTCTTACCATGATGTTTGTCCAAATACTTTTAGCGGGATGCATCACCAGGCAGCGTACTTCTGCGACGTTGTAACATCACTGTTTCACCGTTCTCCCCGTTCGATTATCGCAGGGCACGGTAACGTTTTTAATTGCGAAGGAGCTGACGACCGCGGGCTCGAAGTAGGTTTGGGCCTCCCGACCAGCCGCCGCGATGGTGTGGAAATGATCTATCCCGGCGTTGGCAAACAAACAGTCGTGCTGGCCAACGTGTGGGTCAACGTGTGCTGACTCATTCGCAGCCGCGCGCAAACCGCGGAACCGCCGTGCGTGGGCGTTTTTTAAAGGATTTATGTCAGTTCTTGATAACCAGAGCGGGTAGAAACGTGAGACCAGCTGTACGACTGGGCTGGACTGAGCGTAACATGCAGTATACAAATGGTGTAATCGGTATGTCAACACTGTGCACCGGACGAAAAATGACCAACGCAGGCGGCGGACTCGTAGACCACTACCACCATCATTTAAGTCACTGTGGGTGCCTGCTACCATCCCATCCTACTTCCTACCTGAATGCGAATTTCATTACGTGGCTCGTTACGAGTGCGTGGGCTACAATCTTTGGAGACGTGCGAACTTCGTATCTCGTAGAAGCGAGAGCTCGCAGGGTTTGTTGACGTGTTTTCTCGATAGTGGTCGCTAGTAGTAACTGTATCAGTGGGTCAGCCTGCTGATTGTGGCATCACCTACAGCCTCTTCCTGCCGCATTGCTCGCCAGTGTTCGCAATTTAACTATGGCGCGTCTTTGCTCTCAGTCGGCCCTCTCTGTGCCTTATTCTGTCGTCTCCTGGTTTCGCTTGGATATTTCTGGTCATTTTTCCAAACACGCTTTGGACTCCCTCCGGCTGCCGCCTGACTAGCCTGCCGCTCCGTGCCAGTGGCTTGAGCAACGGCAGGCGCAGCTGGCCCGCTCTGCTTCTCTGGCCTTTGAGACGGACCATGACCTACTGCATTCACTTTTACGCGGCGTTCAGTGTGAATGAGGCTGCGAATCTGTAGTGAGGGTGGGGGCGTGACGGAGATGCGGTGTCCTTGGTCAAGCGTCTCGGTTGTTCGGTGGTGTTAATCCATCACGTCTTCGCTCCGCCCACCCGGGCTTTCCCTTTCGCAAGCATTTGTGCAGGGGTGACTCAACAAAACGATCGATGCGCCGTCTCGTGTAACTGCCAGTGGCGGCGTAACTAATCATTCGGAATAACTCACGTTACAAACACAATTTTATTGCGGCATAATTGTGTGCACGACTGAGCAATAAATATCAATATCATATGAGGAATAACATGCGGACTCAGGCTATTTCACGTTTCCTAGACCTAAGCACGGCTCGCGCTCCTAACACGGCGCATGTGGGCGTGGCCCGGTTTGGCGTGGGAGAGACGCCTAGCGGAGGTCTATCCGCTGTACCCGCCACCGGAGGGGGGAGGAGGGATGTACGCGTTGGAGGGGCCGCTGTGCCCGCCCGAGGACTGCGACGAACTGCTGTGTCCTCCGGAAGACCCACCGGAAGAAGAGGGACCACCGTACCCTCCAGAGGGCTGGGACGGGGCACTATAGCCTCCAGAGGGCTTGGATGGACTGAACCCACCGAAAGAGGCAGACGGGGCAGTATAACCACCAGCAGCAGAGGAAGATGACGAGCCACTATACCCACCAGAAGGCTGGGAAGGGGCACCGTAGCCTCCAGAAGGCTGAGCTGGGGCGCTGTAACCTCCTGAGGACTGGGAGGAGGAGGAATATCCTCCACCTCCTCCACCTCCTCCACCACCACCGGCGGAATTGGAAGGACCACCGTAGCCTCCCGATGGTGCAGCGGGAGCGCTGTAACCTCCGGAAGAACCAGAAGAAGCAGATGGGCCACCATAACTTCCAGAGGGCTGTGAGGGGGCACTGTAGCCCCCAGATGGCTGGGACGGAGCACTGGAACCTCCCGAGGATCCAGAAGAGGAGGATGGGGCACCATAGCCTCCGGAAGGCTGAGACGGAGCACTGTAACCTCCCGAGGATCCAGAGGAAGAGGATGGGGCACCATAACCTCCGGAAGGCTGAGACGGAGCACTGTAGCCTCCCGAGGATCCAGATGAAGAGGATGGGCCGCCATAGCCTCCGGAGGGCTGAGCAGGAGCACTGTAGCCTCCTGAGGATCCAGAGGAAGAAGATGGGCCGCCATAGCCCCCAGAGGGCTGAGCAGGGGCGCTGTAGCCCCCTGACGATCCAGAGGAAGAAGATGGGCCGCCGTAGCTTCCGGAGGGCTGCGAAGGGGCACCGTAACCTCCAGAAGGCTGTGATGGGGCACTGTAGCCACCAGATGACTGTCCACCGCCGGATCCTCCATAGCCACCGCCTCCGGACGACTGTCCACCGCCGGATCCTCCATAGCCGCCGCCTCCGGACGACTGTCCACCGCCGGATCCTCCATAACCGCCGCCTCCGGACGACTGTCCACCGCCGGATCCTCCATACCGCCGCCTCCGGACGATTGTCCACCGCTGGATCCCCCGTAACCGCCGCCTCCGGACGACTGCCCACCGCCGGATCCTCCATAACCGCCGCCTCCGGACGACTGTCCACCGCCGGATCCTCCATAACCGCCGCCTCCGGACGATTGTCCACCGCTGGATCCCCCGTAACCGCCGCCTCCGGACGACTGCCCACCGCCGGATCCTCCATAGCCACCGCCTCCGGACGACTGTCCACCGCCGGATCCTCCATAGCCGCCGCCTCCGGACGATTGTCCACCGCCGGATCCTCCATAACCGCCGCCTGCGGACGACTGTCCACCGCCGGATCCTCCATAACCGCCGCCTGCGGACGACTGTCCACCGCTGGATCCTCCATAACCGCCGCCTCCGGACGATTGTCCACCGCCGGATCCTCCATAGCCACCGCCTCCGGACGACTGTCCACCGCCGGATCCTCCATAGCCGCCGCCTCCGGACGACTGTCCACCGCCGGATCCTCCATAACCGCCGCCTGCGGACGACTGTCCACCGCTGGATCCTCCATAACCGCCGCCTCCGGACGATTGTCCACCGCCGGATCCTCCATAACCGCCGCCTCCGGACGACTGCCCACCACCGGATCCACCGTAGCCGCCGCCTCCCGAAGACTTTGAGCTTCCCTTCACAATGCGAGGCGCGGAGAACGTCCTTGTGGAGATGGAACCTCCGCTGATGCCCTTTCCTGTGGAGAAGGCGGATGAGCCGCCGTTCGAGGGTCTGCGAGGCGCGGCCTGCGTCACACTGTAGGCCCTCGGGGCAGAGTACCCACCGTTAGACCCGCCACCGCCGGCGCCACCTTGACCACCGCCATAGCCGCCGCCACCTCCCCTGCCGCCGCCGCCGCTGCCGCCGCCGCCGCCGCCGCCGCCGCCATTTCCTCGGCCGCCGCTCGGTGCGCCGTAGCCGGATTGCACGCTCGGGGCAGAGTATCCGTTGCTGCCGCCGCCTCTGCCTCCGCCGCCGCCGCCGCCGCCGCCGCCGCCGCCGCCGCCGCCGCCGCCGCCATATCCTCCCCGTCCTCCTCCTCCTCCGCCGCCGCCGCCAATGCCGGGAGCACCATATCCTGCCTGGATGATATCGCTAGCCTGGGGCGCTCCATAGCCGCCCTGTCCCCCGTTGGTACTCTTCGGGCGGCCGAAGCCGGCCACTTCACCACCTAGTCCCTGGGACGCGCTATAGCCGCCGCCATTGCCGCCGCCGCCTCCGCCGCCGCCGCGGGGCGCACCATATCCAGAAGAGATGCCGCCACCGCCGCCGCCGCCGCCGCCGCCGCCGCCGCCCCCTCCGCCGCCGCGAGGTGCGCCATATCCGGAGGATACGCCGCCGCCGCCGCCGCCACCGCCGCCTCCTCCGCCGCCGCGCGGTGCGCCATATCCGGAGGAGATGCCGCCGCCGCCGCCGCCGCGACCGCCGCCGCCGCCGCGTCCACCGCCGCCATCGGCCAGGCAGAGGCCGATCAGCAGCAGTGAACTGCAAGTCTGTGAACAGGCAGCGCAGGCTGTGACGCTGCCAGCCGCCGGAGAGCGCGTCCGGGCTGGCGGAACACGACCGCTGGAACACCGCTGGAGCACGGCCGCTGGAGCACGGCCGGTGGAACAACGCTGCCAAGCAATTGGCACGGGCTGGCGTGCATCGAACTTGGACTGAGCTGAATCTCAAGTAGGTGTTGAGATCTATATAAATTGCGCAATGAGCAGGAGATAGGAATGCGTGAGCTACGCGCTGTATATGAACGATGCAAAGGATGCATGTGTGTATCTGTAACGCTATTGCTAGTGTGCTTGGACAATAAAACGAATTGAGATGTCTTATGTGCCTTGAAAAAGCACCAGTTCCATGAATGCTTTGCACTAGATTCGTAATGCATTGAAAAGCACCCACACCTTCCCACGCGGTGAGTTAGTTGTCAATGTTTGGGAAGCCGGAGTAAATACATCAGTGGTGTGCCTGAGGCCAGTGCCGCGATGCTGGCCGCCGCCAGACCTGAGCGGCGTCAGCGTACCTCTGAGTGGCAGGCGCTCTCTGCCACACGCCTTACCTTGATGATGTTCATGTGACTGGTGGGCTGCACGAAGCAGACTGCCGACAGTGACGGCGATGGCCGCTTATATACGGAGGCGTGCGGCAGGGGTGGCGAGCGAGGCACCGGGCCGCGTGACGCGGCCGTCGAGCAGCGAAGGCCGGGGGCTCTTTGGAGTGAAAGGTGCCCGAGGCGACGGGTGGCAGTCGTGGCCCGCGCTACTGCACGGGCTGGGGCGGGCAGCGGCCGTCGTGAGCGGCGGAAGCAGGGCAGCTGAGGTGTTTGCGGATGATTCGATATTGTGCTCACCTTCCGCACACGTTCCGTGTGCTCTCCTCGGGTCGACCGATGCCCTGCCCCCCCCCCCCCTATAATCTCTCCGTCTGACAATGGGATGCACTATGTTTGGAACTGAGGGACATAAATCAATACTATGGTGCACTCATGGCATGTGTAGTGCGCGCTCTAGTCACGCCTCCAGTCGGACGTGATCAATCTACCGGGTTCCGTGGTGTCATGGTCGAACATGCATATGGCTATGAGTCACTGCCACTGCATGCCAGAGCAGTGAAGTTACCCTCGTCCTTTCTGATGTAGGTGAAATTGGTATCGATGGCGCTGCCAACGGGATGAGCTTTGTCCAAAATGCATTTAGCCGGAAGTCTTTCTGCAGAATGCATTCAACCAAACGCTGTTTTGTCGACGTGTCTTTTTGTCATGTCGCTGAAGCGGAACGCTAGAAGTCGAATGGCAATTTGTCGGCATACCCTTTTATGAACATGTAAATTTTACGAAATATTCATAGATTGAAATGCTTGTTTGCTGAATGCCAATTTGCCGAATCGCTCCCAAGTATTTGTCAATTTAACGAAACATTTTAGGTTGAATGTTACCCCTCCCAACTGCCCTTTAGCCAAATGGTTACCACAAAAATGTGTTTTAGTCGCGCCTAGTCCGACGGGATGCTCATCAGCTGATTGTGAATTAGCTGAATGCTTTCAAGTCGAATTTTCATGAGTCAAAATATTATCAATGGGTGGAAGACAGTCCCCTTAATCCTCCTCCCGTGACCATTGTTCAACACTGCACCACGAGTGGAGACTTCAGCAGCCCCCTTGACATCTCAAAAATCAAGTCAGCTAGGGTCGTGGGAAAGACGGCATTGGAGATTTTTCTTCAAACCGTGTTAAGGAGGTGCGACTGAACGATGGTGAATGTTACTTTAAGCAGCTTAAATCAGGTCCACCCTCCTGGTGCTGCAGCATTAGGCATGCGACAACACGAAAAACGGCATTGAATTACTGTTAAAAAAACTCTGTCGGATGGGCTGTATTGGACACTGCTAGATTTTACCTATAATCAACCAAACCAAACCGAATTACTCCATGTCTTTAGCATAATTGGCTTTACCGACCAATCCCTTCCTGCCAATGCGTAACGTTATTCATTGACTGCTCCTTGCAGGCGTTATCACTTGGCAGTACTTTCAATCATTCAATTCGCATTTCGGCAAAATAAAAATTGCGTATTGGCCATTCGACGAATTTACGTTTATCGATTACCGTTCGTAGAGTCCAAATATCAAATACAGAGTCACTACGTTAATTTCGGTTCAATGATTTTCCATTCGTCGATTAACGTTCCTCAGATCCACATTTCGACAAAACAGTGTTAGGTTCATTGACAATTCGGTAGCTTTCCATTCGCCAAATCCTGTCTCTGTATAGCAACGTTCAGCTGATAAATATTTCGACGCGTAAGCTTCCAGCTGATAAAAATTTTGATCTACTTACGTCTCGTAAATTTGCACGGCGTCAAAAAGACATATAATCAATATGCACTTCGCCTCTTAGCCTTTCTCCACTTCCACATGTCGATAAAAAAGCAATGGGGACGAATAGGCATGACTGCAGGAAGTATTCGGGATTTTACATTTACGAAACAACATTCGGTTAAACTTCACCCGACCGTTTGCCCTGGAACCGGGACTGCATATGGCTTTAGAAATATCCCCGTCAGAATTGAGCGACTCTTTTTGCCTCAGCACTACTGAACCTAAGTCCTTAATTGAACATTAACTTGAGAATATGAACTTTGACAAGGACGTAACATCGTCATAGACAGCGAAACGCACGTCACCTTCCACGGTGTCCATACCAGCCCAAAAACCTTGGCTACTGTGCTGGACCTGATGGAGATCATCTGAGAGTTGTACAACTGATGCCAGCGAACAAGCTCGCCGTAAGCTTCTGACATCGTCCGCCATCTCTCTAGGTTTGTTGCGCGTCCAGTCATACTAAACAAGGCAGAGACAACGTCGTAAGAAATGTGTAACTGTTGTTCTCATCCTTTTTTGGATGATAACTTTTTGCAACTGCGATGCGCTTTTCGGCGCATATTTAGTCAGGGCTCATTATGTTAGAAAGCTCACGAGTTGCTGGGAGAGGCCGAAGTGCCGTATATGACGCGTGCCCCCCCCCCCCCCCCCCCCGGTGTGCCCAATTGCAGCCCACCGAGGACGTCTGGGGCACCTTCATACAAAGGGGGCATCGGGGAGGCTGATGCGCAGCATCCGACCTAGGTCTGAAGCGCAGGACAGGTCAGGTGGCTGCTGACCTGGACACAGATGTGCCGAGATGCAAAATGCTCCTACACGTGCCCAGATATGTGTGTGCCTGCCGGCAAAGTGAAGGACGGAGATAATCAGCTAATAAAAAAATGTCCGCGACATCTAAGATTAAGTGATTGCCCAAGTTTCATTCGCATGCGGTGATAAACTTGCTTAAGGTATGACTTTAAATGTTGTCTAATTTTCCAGCGCTGACACATTTCTTTCACTTGACAATACAAAAATTTGCATGCTTCCCCCACACCATTCCGTGCCGCCTCCATTCCTCTTTAAACTTCGTTTTGGAATGTCGTAATGTGAGCATAGGCAATGTATAGGTAAAGACAATTTGGAGTTTATTATAATTTGATTATGGGATTATCATCTTAGATCTGAGTGTTTGAGGGTTTGAATGTCTTTTGTGTTATACCTGCCTCTGTGACACCTGTATTTTGCGTGCTTGCTTTCTGCAATGTTGTCTGCGGAGGTTCCATAGCTTGCGCGCCAATGAACCAAACTATTATCTACGGCAGTTACGTAGAATGCCTTCAGGAATATTTTGAATTAAATTTTAAATCAAATTAAATTAAATATTAAAGCAAAAATTAGCTGGCTAAGCAATCAGGCAATTTTCAGATTGTTCAAGTTCAATAGTACACAATTCAATTTTTTGCTGTTTTCCAGAGGATACCCTATACCAGGTATGTCCAAATAACGCTTGAATCCAAGGAGCTAGCTGAGGTCATCCGAGATCTTCTTGACGTCGGGCCTCAAGATGGCATGCATATATCCCCGAGTTGAGGATATATGCATGATATATATCCAACGCACGTTGGTATTACTGTGATGGTGACATATTCATGTTTTCAACGTCTTGTATCCTGTTTCCAGTTTTCCCCGTCTTGCATAGCATTTTAAATGCTGACCAGTTGGATGTTTTCGGCAAACACAATTTCATATTCGCGAACAGGATATTTGTTCCCACATAAGAATTGTCAGAATAACATATTAATGAGATCGGACTAACAGTTTTTTGGCCGGAAAGATGTCCGGGAAGACTTTTGCATGACTGTCCCTGTATGTGACAAGATCTAGCTAACCATAAAAAGACACTCCCCTGTAAGTAATGGAAATCGATGGTCATGTACTTAGTAATCCTCCGACCGCAGCTTGCTCATGATAGCGTTAGAAATCGCAAGAATGGAAATTCGACAATGTGTTATTTTCGACTGCTGACTCTTTTTGTAATAGTTCTAATGTTATGTTGTATACTGCATGTGTCAACTTTTCAGTTCCAAGGCACGTTTCTGACATTGATAGGTCAGAGAAAAACATTCTGGCAGGTATGCAAACATGCACCCACACACTCAAACCTACAGCAAACACGGACACACTCTCAAGACGTATTGCAAATACCAGGAGAGTGAAAACGAGACAGCAGACATATTCAACACCGTTTGAGTTGACAGTTGTAGCAAGGATATGTCCCTACATTGTTATGATACGAATGGTCAGTCATTCCTCTGAAAAGGAGACGCACAGATTTTTAACGCACCAGCGATAAGCTGAGAACCGTATTCTAAAACGAGAACGACAATACTCTCAAAGTTACCTGTCGGCGTTTTAAGTGTTGATTTCAACAGCGATATCGACATAGATCTTGATTACCACAATTTGGTGTGGATGTGCATGCTTCTACACTTATATACAATACCATATCACAGGTCGAACCGACAGATTATCTGAAAATGATGTATATTAAATGCCATAGAGGACAGGCTTGGCTGTCTGTAAACACGTAGTTTTTATTGAGCCTGCCAGAAATGAATTCAGGCAGGGCCAAACCTGCAAGAAAACGAAGGGCAAAAATACAAAATTGCGAACAATATTTACGAAATAAATGGAAAGGCCTACGACTCCGACAATGAAGGTCACCTGGGACTGTAAATTGGCTCATCATCGCCTTTCATACGTCCTGGTCTCCTCCAGACCTCGATGAAATTGAGGAGGCATGAGTTAAGCGCCGCTCTCCTTGATTGATTTCACGCGAAACCAAATAATCAACATGTTAGCAAGTAAATGGTAAGATGTGGCTAAAATCAATGAACTTTGGTTGAATCGAATGGATTCACCTTTTGATATCCTTGTTCCAGCTTTCCATATTTGCATGACATTTGGAAAGATAGAAGACATTTGACTGTTCAGTCCCACCTAATCCACCAAAACAGCCGATTTCATGAGCCGGCCCTTTGACCTGTTGTTTGATCGCAACTTGGTGGCTTTTATCGACCGATCATCTTCTCCTTGTATGCAACGATGAAATGTCAAATGAATCAAGCAGCCTCTGCCGTGAACGTTTCATTTCTTATCCCTAGCCGATTGTTCGTCAAGCAAACTTTTATTCACACCGGGCCTAAATTCGAGACAGCAACGTTACGTACAACGTTACATTGTGACGACGTCACGCGACTGAACAGCCCGTTTTGAAGTTCATCCTACCATCAACGTTCGTTATTGTTTCAGCATAGTCAAAGTGCAGCGCAGCCAGGAGTGTCGCATAAAATAGGACAAATCCCATGCTGTATGTCACCGCCTCACATATGGTTACAAACCAGAGCCGTCTGTTAGTTTCCGCCCACGTGGGCGTGATGATTTGTCTCATGCAATCCTTGAGGTGACGCTGCATTTGTCTCCGCGCCGTATTGTGCCGAATATGTTCGTTACGGAGAGACTGGCCGCTCGGAGTCACACTGGACGACAAACAGTTACCGTTACCTTGAGCTCAATACAGTCTGGATATGTAACATGCACACTGCGTTACACCTCAGAGCGCTCACGACTTAATATCGATAGCCGTCAGGATTACGCCATATACTTATGATTCGTTGCCCCATCATTTACGTGTATGATCTGCGGCATTGTTTGTAGGGCGTGACTTATCGACAAACAGCTGGCCAGTAACTACAAGTGGCGCGGCATTTACCGGTGCCCGGACTGTTTTCTTGTATGCGACTCGTTTTCCTCCTCGTCATCATTTGAATGGCTTCTGATGAATGCAATGGTAATCGGCCTTGCAATCACAGCAAATGACGAACATGAGCCAGAGCAGGTCAAACATTTCATTGGTTGAAGCTTAATTCAGATGCGAATTTTGGGATGGGTGAGATGAAATTACGCATGCTGATCTGAGTCACTGAGTTATCCCGATGCGTCAATGACACGGTGCCGCCTTACATTCCACCGTTTAACCGGTGGGAAACAGGTATAAGATTATCAGCAAGCGTGGTGCTTACGTATTCCAGAATGAATTCTCGATTGAGTATGCAGTCTTTGCGCATCGATGTAGCCTACCTAAAAGATCGTTTACACATTCTTTGCAAGCCTTTTGATCAAAATTATCGAGATAAACTCTATTTTAGTTTTTGCAGATCGCCTCTGAGCACAGACAAAAGTATTCGCGTGACTAGTCCGATTAAGACCTCACAGGCACGCACACCACGAGGTGCTCTTATCCCTCACAGGCACGCACACACACGAGGTGCTCTTATCCCGTCGCGGCTGTCACAGCCGAGGCGGGCCGCGGCCCGAGGGCCGCCTGGCCGGGTCATGGGCCGAGCTGGAGCGGCTCATGCGGTGGGGCGCGCTCTGTTTTGCCTCGCCCGGGTTACGCCACGGCCAGCGGCGGCGGCGGCGGCGGCGGCGGCGGCGGCGGCCCGGTCAGCAGGTGCAGTGAAGCGCCGGCCGGCCGGGATGCTGCGCGTGACGGCTGGTCGGCGAGGGCCGGCCCGCGCGGCACGCGAGGCGCCAAGCTGGCCAGGGCCCGCCGGCCGGCCGTCGGCCGACGCCTGTGACCCGCACCGGCGACCGTGAGAAGGGCGGCGCCGGCAGGAGCTCCAGAGCGCACCGCCGCTTCAGCAGTACGCCTCAGCGTGGTGAAGGAGGTCTTCCAACCCAACAGCTGATCGATTGAAGCAGAGGCAAACTAAAAACTAGACGGAGTAACTTTATCTGGACTACTGTCCCAGTCAACGGTGTAATTGTTCGCACAACTGAGCCCGTAACCTCTCTTTCGACCAAGGGCTGTCGGAGAACTCTTGCCCGAAGCGTTGTGTTAACAGCACCAATTTTGATAGAGGAAGTGGTCCGAATTGTGCTTGGTTTACCCCAACTAGTCATCCATAACAATCAGACAAAAACTAACTAAAATCTTAAAAAACTAATCCACATTTGTATGGAAGGTTCAGGCAACGGTTAGGTGCTGGCCTCTGTTGTTGTCGACGCAGAACACAGCCATCGGCTCTCGTTCGGTTTGTACGCGCCGATGAAAAGGTAACACCTGTGCAAGCGTACAAGGCCTCCCAGTCCTGCAGGGCCTGCTACAGCTGTGGCCACGGAGGTGAAAAGCAAAAATGGTAGTTCGAACTGACTAGTCTCGAGTCCTAGAACGAGTGCTACTTTATCGACATCAGGTATCAAACCACAGTTGGTCGTTCCCCTGGCGAGGGTGGCGAGCTTGCTTTAAGATAATGATGAAGGTATCGTTACAACACCAACTGGCATATCATGCTTTTCTTGCATCCTTTGTTCTTTCCAGCCTTTCGCTCCATGACATGCATTTTGTCTTCAAAGTTCTGGCTTCAAAATGAGGCGAGCATGAGTGCAACATAGCTGTTTCAAGTGGGGTACTAGCACGAGGCGAATAAGTGGCTGGCACCTACACGGCTGGGCTCAGCCCTTACTTCACCCACCTTGTACTTGCTTTGCAGTCTTCTTCTCCATCCTCAATTTCCTACACCTTCTCCCTCGTCCTTTTTGCCGTAGTTTACTAATTTGTGCCAAATTGTACGCGTGGGTGGCGATAGGCTTCTCAGCCCTTGTGCCAAGCTTGTTGCGTGCACTCCGTAATCACCACCCAAACAGTGCTACCGAGATGAAAGGATAAGTTTGCCTCCATTCGTCCGCCGGCAATAACTGTACAGGAATTGATGTGCAGCGCAGGGCAGCGACACAGTCTCCTGGGCAAGGATAGAACCTCGCTGGTCAGTGCCAGCTGGCCTTTCCACGCCTGTCGGGCCAGCAACGTGCTCAGCGAATCCTGGCGAAAGAGGGCATCAGTGCACGAAAAGAGTGAAAGTAGATCATCAGCAGCTCGTCATCCTAAAATAGTCTAAGGCGCGAAGTGAGCAACTTACCCAGCCGCCGACGGCTTACTGAGAACAATAGGCATATGGACGATAAAAGCTACTTTCCCTACACAGGAAGCTGCATGGATTTTATAGTCGGCGTGGTGGGGACGTTCCTCATAAGACAAGGCATCGACCTACTGGCAACAGCCACGTATCGCCAGAGGTATAAACAGGAGAGGCCACTCTTCCTGTAAGAGGTATACCCAATGGTGGAACATGTGTTCTGCCCGGACCTGGTAGCGCCTGCACCGGGCCTGGGCCTGGTAGCATCCACTACTTCGATCACAGTGCCATTTAAAACATTGTGCGGTGCCATTCGAGATCCGCTTCTTGTTGTTCACATGATGGTACATTTGGAAACGTTCAAGTCCAACAGCCATTTGGCATACCAGCCAACTATTGAACATAAGCCATCCCGGAAAATCGCATTCGTGTATCTAGTATAATCAACGTACGAATATAAAACCACGTCATCAGCAAAAAACGTATATCCCAATTAAATCCTTCGACTATATCATTTGTGCACACAATGAACAAAAAGAGCCCAAAGACACTTTCTCCACGCACCCCAGAACCTATAAATATACTTTCCGGATAGGTGGTCTCCAGGATCATGCTCTGCGTTGCGCTGGGGATGAGCGAGCTATTACTTAATTAGTTTTTTGGTATTCCACACAAATTTTCACTTCTGGGGCAGAGGCTTATGAATAATTTTGTTGAAGGCTTAACAAAGTTCAAAGAACTTTGGATCAACACTTATTTCTCATCCAATGCAGGCTCTATATCACTTATGAACATCAGCAGCTATTTTTCTCTTGAAAAGTTTCGTCTAAAGCTATGCTGCTTATGAACTATTGAACTATGAACTACGTTCTATTCCTCCAAATACGAAACCATCGAAAATGGCAGAATCCCGTCCATCAGTGAGCAACAAAGCCATGTAAGTGATATTGGTCTATAGTTGCAGGATTCCTTGGAGTCTCCTCTTTAAAATAGGGCAGGCTCACGATTCCTTCCAGGCATCCAGCACCTTCCCCGTATCTATCAACTGTTCAAAAATGTATTTTAGAAACATCGCTGTGAGAACTGCACATTTCTTTCACGTAGCGCCAGATCTGGTCTAGATACTTTTCGGGTTTTAATATTTTCAATAAGCTTACCAATGTCGTTATTGCTATATGTTAGAGCGAACATTTCCTATACTGCACAGTTACTCACGGTGGAAATGTCATTTCTATGTTTTGTAGTAAATATTCATTGGTAATAATTGCTCAAAACCTCGGCAATCGATGCATGTGTAACCGTGCCAATGTTTTGCCTTCCTTTTACTCTGAGAATATTTCCAAAACTCTTTGCTGTTGTCTTTTATCGCGTCACCAAGCCGTTTTGTATTCATGTTCTGCTTTCCTGCAAGCCTGATTCACACTTAAACGGGCTCCCTTACACATTACCAGTATCTGGGAAATTTGCTGCCTCTTTGCCTTTCTGCGCGAAGCGCATTGTTTCTTTCCTAGTCTCCTGATATTTCAGTTGTGCCATGAAGCATCTCCATTAAGTTAAACGGCTTTTCTGGCACCATCTTTTCAACCGTCATTATGTTTCCTTGAAATTTAAGCAAATCTCGTTTGCTGTGCTACAAGCGAACATGTTCAGAAATATGATGTTATCCGGATAAAGTCAGTCTCTAATAACGTTTGGGATTTTTCTTGTTGTTATGTTTTATCGTTCGCTACCTCTCGCTGCCTTTGGCTATCTTAATTTACAATACAACGTAATGGTCACAGCTTGATGGTCACTGATACCATCGCAAATGCCCATACCTTGCACTAGTTCTTGTGCATCAGATATTTGGAGATTTAATACAACTTAATCATTTTTCGCATATCTGGTTGGTCCGTTGACGATCTGGTCAACACCAGGGGCGCTCAGAGTCTCGATAAGAGTTTCAATTTTCACTGTCAAGGCGACGCATATCACCAGACCTATGGCGCGCGGCGTTCCAATCACGTCGGATAGACTGAAATCGCCTTCAGTAATCATCCTCAGACGTGGATTAGACTCGATGAACTTTTGCGCTCATGTCTTCAAGAAGTGTATGAGAGTTTAGTCGTCTCCGCTAGGTGGGTCATAGACGACGCTTATCAAGTATGCTTTCTTGTTATCATCTGCTATTGTGCACCAAATGACTTCTGAATCGTTCGTAAAGAATGCCTTCCATGTAGATGGCGATATTTTCCTTCACACTTATGAGCACCCCTTCTCCAATCATTCCATTTCTAACTCGTCTGCACGTTGCTTAACCTGTTGGGAATACTTCGCTAGAAGCAATGTCTTCCGTTGGCCAAGATTCGGTGCCTAATATAACATGTGGGTCACGCGCTCGTACAAATACTCCAAAGCCGCTAACCTTGTTTGCAGAACAAATGTTTCGCCAGATTATGAGGGCTATTTACAGTCAAGAGTGTTGTGTTGCTCAGAATCCCGTTAATGCTGTAGGCCCGCGACGTGATGTTGAATTACCACCTTCTCGACTGCACCGAATGCCGTGAAAAAAACAACCGAATTAGAAGGTAAATGACCAGCCTTTGTTGCCTCTGACCTGTTGAAATGCATGCCGTCTATTTACAGGCTATCATAAGGGCATTTGCCTGGTACTTCATGTACATCTGTGAATGACAGCTCGCTATTCATCCCGCAGCGGGCCTTGAGCCGATTGCAAACGCTATCAGCCTTACTATAAATGTACCCTTCGTGGTCAGTTCGTGGAACGTGTAGGTTTGTAGCTCCCAGAAGGCCCCTGGCCAGGTGAACTAAATCAAGAACCTTTGAAATAACGGTCTCCGATCCCTCGCCCACTACGTCATCTGTTCCAATGTGAAGAACGAGCGAGTTGGCCCCGCTCCCATTCACGGCAGCTAGCAACTGTTCCTTCAAATGATGGGTCGTCACGCATTGTATAAAGTGAAACCAAACTGTACTACCTTGAACTGTTGCGTGGTTGGTAGCGCCCTGCGAGTACCAATCGAGTCACATTCAGGTCACTTGTCACCAGAGTCTCACCATTTGAAGCCATCGCCGGGGTTCTGGAAGTCCTCGGTGGACTAGCTGTTTCAGCGGGTGGTGAGACGTCCTCATCCTTCCTGTCTTTACCGCTTTGCCTTGCACTGCACAACTGTCGTTGGCGTCGGGCTCCAGTTGAGGCCATGCGCGATCCCAGCATGCTTTGAAAACCAGCGTGTTCAGTGGCTGAAGCATCCATCTTCACTTGGGTTAATGTGATTCCCTCCATGATACTCGTTAGGAAAACCCCCCAAAATGATGGGCCAGACGTGGGATCTTGTTCAGATCCATGGCCGACTCCAGGAGATCCAGATTTTGTTCGGATGCTGGTAGTCTTAATGACTATCTCTTGTGCTACAGCCGGTAGCGCTTCGGTGCCAAATGAGGGGGGGGGGGCGGAGATTTTACCATCTCCTCCACCTTTTGTCTTTAGGATTTGTTCTCATGTGCGGTAACGGCTTTGTTTGCGTTACCAATGTCTTGATAGCGAGAGAACAGTGGGCGGTGGTGAGGCCAGAGCTTTGTTCAATCCCGCCATCACGAGCAGCATCACTATTAAAATAAATCCAAGGCATCTTCGGCTGCGTGGAAAAAGCGGGCGCGAAAGTCCCAGAACATTATTTTCACTACTTAATGGTAGATACCAATTCTAATCCTGCTAGATTATGGATGAACCATCTCGAGATAGCTTTTGAAAAACGCCTCGTTTTTTCAAAAGAAACCTGTAGTAGATATTTTCCGCAAAACTTATTATCTTCCCCGCCAAAATCTATCAATCATTGTTTTTAGAATGGCGCGTTATTAACTTTATTTTATTCTTCCGGTTGCAAGCTGGCTCGCGCTCATCGCATATGAAAGTGTTCCACGAGCACCGCTGCCTAACTCATGTCTTGGATTATTCGTGTTGTCAGAGAATAGCCGATATCGTCTGGATGACGTAACACTCCTGAGGAAAGGTGAAGATCTGATCTCCCCTGGACATGGAAGCTGTGAGATGTTCTGTCGGTGTGGCAAAGTTCTGGTGATTTGTGTCAAATGTCGCGGGAGCTTAGACAAACAAATCCTTGCATCCCGAAATAGATACAAACCCCGCGCATGACAACCGAGCTGGCTGCATAATAACTCGTCTTCCCTGTGTGCTTCTGTTTTCAGGTTTTACCCCTGAAGACCTGTGGCAGGGTGCGCACCGGAGTTCGAAGCGGGCAACGCCCCAGCATCACATGGTGGGGAGGACGACTGCTCGGAACGTGCCGTAGATTACCAGTCATACTGTAGATCACGGCAGTCGGTATGTCAAACCAAGTCACAAGCGTTCTTAAGCATTTGAATCACACTGGGGCAGGTGTACCTGTCTTCCCATCGACCTACATCAACCCCGTGCAAATACAGTTCACGAGAGTGTTTGTTTTGCATCAAATCTCAATGCAAGTAGACTCGGCTTCAGGTTGTAAAAGAGCCTAGACAAACAGGGACAGCAAGCCTCCTTGAAACAGATGAGAAGGCCCACACATGGCAGCCGAGGCAGCACATAAT